ATATCGTCTCGTGTGTAGCCCGTTTAAGCCGTATACGAACGCGACCCTCCTTGGCAGAAAGGAGGGCGCAAGCGGCGAAAAGCCGCTTAGAAGAGTGCCTTACTAAGGCAGATTAAGGGATGTGTTATGTAGGCTCGGCCTGAGCCGCCAGGAGGCAGTTCAGGTCAGCCGGAAGCTTGTTGGGGGGGGGGGGAACGCCTCTGGCGATGCAGCGCTCCGGGATTTGTTCATGTCTGAACGGGAAAAATCAAGAAACTACCGCCTGGCATGTTCTCTTGGATTCTTGATTTTTAGGCGCTTAGGGCATGCAATAGTCCTCTATTTTTATTAATATTTTATTATTTATGTATTGTTTTTATAGTTTTCGCTTTTTTTCTATTTTTTTTTTTTTAAGCGGTTTTTTTTTTTTTTTTTTTCTTGTTTTTTCTACAACCTTATATTCTTATTTATTTATTTTTTTTTTAAATTAATTGTTAAAATATTTCGGTTAATTTAAGAATAATAATATATAATTAAGAAAAAAAAATATACGTACCTACCGTTATTAAGAGCCGTGCTTTTAAAGAGAAAAACCAGGAAAGAGATAAATAACTGACAATTATTGAAAACCACAATATTAATCCAATTATAATGCATTATTTCAAGAGCTAAGACAACATAAAAGTGTAATTACAGAATTACAAACTAGATCTTTGATATAGCAACTTTTATATCGCCTACGTTATTCCCCGGCCCACTATCTTTTCGAAAAAGATTATGTTAATGCGATGCCCATTGCTGTGTGAAAGTAGGAAAAACAAGCAATCACACTTTTGTATTTATCATATTGCTAAGGAACGGTCATACTCAAAATATGGCTTATAGCTATAGGCTTTTGTTAAGACAGTGCGCTTTATCATTTTAGTCTACATCACCACTTACCGTCGGGTGGGATATTTAAGAACTGGCTTAGAATTGTAAAAAATAGTCAGTAATGTACGTTCCATGGATATAAGGGTACCATCACAATAGACGCTCGGAAAGTACTGTAGTGCTTCCGCTGTGGTGTTAATTTTCCGTACAATCATAATATAATCCGCAGGCATATTCCAAAAGGCATATTTTCCTCGATGGAGTTGCCTTCACAGCTAAAGCATAATGAAGAGGTAAACATGTTAATTTATTTTTATTTCAAAGAATAAAGGTGACAAACGAACACGCAGTTCACCTAATTGTAATCTACATACCCTTAGGACTTATCGAAATGCTTAATATTAAAAGGTTCTTCTGTTCCCATATCAACACCACAGACATCAAGCAGGGGATGGGCAGTATCATCTTCCTGATAACAACTCAAAATAATAATATCTACACTGCGTTTGCCAACTCGCCTACCATGCGGACTAGAAAAGGGATAATTTATTTTATTGTTATGTAATGACAATAAAATGTAACGACAAAGTGAGCCGTAACCAAAAAAAAATTTTACTATCCTAATATTCGAACGAACATGGTTGTTTCTTGTTCGCCATCATTAGAATTAAGTGTCTTCTCTTGGTCTTGGACCCTCTTCAATTGTTTGAAACGTTGTAGCCTCCAAAGAATAATGTGATGCCCTATTACCTGTATTTATACGGACTTAAAAGTTATAACCCTTAAACCAAAACACAACAGGGAAAATAAGAGAAAAACAACTTTATTTGATGCCACAAAATAGATTTTTTTTTATTAAAAGTATTTTTAAAATATGGTATTGTAGCAACAAATATAGGTACATTCAAGCCAGCATTATGATGAAGTGTGATAATCACAGTGCTAACAATCTGCCGATGCCTTATATAATTATATTTATAAGCTACTAAAACTGTTGATATTTTGAAAAATATTGGATTTTCCATAATTATAAATATACCAATATCGGAGTTTTTTTTATAAGTTTATTTATCGATATATCGAAAATCCGATATTTTAAAAATATCAACAGTTTTAGTTTGAACTGATCAGTTGAACTGACCGTGTGTGTCGTCCATTTTATTTTACTTTGTTGTTTATTAGTAAAAATATGTAAACTCATGCACGCCTTAACAGAAGAAGCAATACCAAGTCATAATCATCATCATTACAACCCATCACAAGTTCACTGCTGAACAAGGGTACCCTCATTCATCGACTTCCTGCAGCTCGAAGAACCGATTACTGATTGGAAAGAAAGATTCTCGTATGGTAAACGAAGTGTTAGGCGGCCCACTATATGAAGTGACAACCTGATAAGAGAATAATAAGTAAATAAAATAAAATATGTTTATGTCAAAAGACAACCATATGTGTTGGCAGCGTAAAGTACTATAGCAAATCATTTCCTCGTGGGTATCGTAATAATTGACTGCGATGTAAGTGGCAAAGGTCAAAACGACTGTCACGTGTTAGTTACCAAATGTATCACTATATTGACGCATCCATTACAGTCTATAAATCCACTACTGAACATAGGCCACTCCCATAGATAGCTTCATAGGGGGATTTCGCAATTAGTGGCGTAGCTTGGGGGGTGCCAGGGGGGCATGGCCCCGAGCGGCATACGAAAGGGGGCGGCGGCAGGTGCCAAGATTTTTTCAATAAAATTAACTCCAAACTGCGCCCGCAATGTTACGTGCCAAGCAAAACCGCAAGGGCGGGTAGGAGATAAAGTCGATTACTGTCAAAGTGCTAGCGACAACCACCCGGCGCCCGGCTGGCCGGCACTGCAGCGGCAAATTGCCGTAAACGAATAAACAAGCGACAGCGTGTACTTAGTTATTCAATCAAACAAAACAATCACTGTTGAACATAGGCGCAAGGAATGCCACAAAGCACGGTCCCGAGCCACCTGCATTCATCGACTTCCTGCATATCTTACCAGGTCCTCACTGCAACTAATGCAGGGGACGCCCTACTCTTCGTTTACTGGTCCGAGGCTGCCACTCGAGAACCTGTCTTCCCTATCGGCTGTCGGTTTTTCGAGCTATACGGTCGGCCCATTCACTTCAGTTTACTAATCTGTAGAACTATGTCTGTTGCTCTGGATCTACTGCGGTTATCCTAGTTTTTAATGCTATCATGCAAAGAAACTCCGAGCACAGCATTCTCCATAGCTCGCTGAGCGATCTTGAGCTTCATACGATCAACAGTGAAGGACCACGTCTCAGATCCATAGGTCACCACAAGTAACACACACTGATTGTACAATCTCGTTTTGAGTTTTTGATATATGCCTGACGAGATGTCTCGTAATCTCCCGAATGCTGCCCAGACGAATTGAATCCGTCAATTGACCTCTCGGTCAAAGTTGGACTTACCTAGTCGGACTATTTGTACCAGGTAAACGTACTCGTCAACAACTTCGAGCTTAGTGCTACCAACAACAATTGGCATAGGTGTGACGTGAACGTTACACATAACTTTGTTTTGTCCATGTTCATCTTAAAACCAATCCGTTGAGAGACACTACTAAGGTCAATAAGCATAGTTTTTCGGCAAATCGAAGATGAGTGATGTGATCGCCATTGACGTAAATACCGTATTCTTTTCAGTCCAGTTGCTTGAAAACGTCTTTCAATCCAGAGGTGAAGTTTCGGGGATATTATGTCACCCTGTCTTACACCTCTCTGCGGTCGGATGGGTTTCGTACTCTGGTTCTGTGCTTGGATAGCCATCGTTATCCTACTGTACAAACACTTCAGCACTTCGATATACCGACAGTCAACTTGGCACCGCTGAAGGCATCACTGTCCAAATTTTGACGGAGTCGAAGGCTTTCTCTTAGTCCACATACTCAAAACAAAGTGGCGGATTGTGCTTTTCGGTCTTCTGTACAATTTGACGAAGGGTATGTATGTGGTTTAGGGTGCCAAAGCCTTTTCGGAAATCGGTTTTTTCGGGAGGCTGAAAGTTGTTGAGTCCGCATGCGAGACGATTCGTAATGTAATAACTCTTGAAAACAGCACGTAGACGCGACTCTGAAGGGAAATCAGTCAGCAGTTCTTCAAGAGAGTACTTTCGCCTTTCTTGAAGAACAAGATCAACGCACTTCTGCTTTACGCTTATGGAGTAGTGCCACCATGGAGAACGGAATTAAAGAGTTTCTGAAGGACTTCATTTACCAGTTTTTCATCTGGTTTTAGAAGCTCCGCTGTAGTTCCATCTTCTTATAATAGTATTAGGAGAAAAACGAGAGGAATTTGAGAACGACTCTTCACGTATGCTAAAAAATTATGTGAAGAGCTTGGAATTTCTTTTAAGCCCCCAAGACCAATCTGGAGGAGGCATATTTTTGGCGACTAAAATATAAATGTTGGGTTATCGTACGAGAATGTATTGAGGCGAACAATGTTTACTTCCGAAAACAGAGTAACTGCTGAAATTCATGATCGATTCCAACAGGCAAAAATATGCCTTTTAATGCCTGCAGTAATATTGGGCTGGAAGAATTTAACTAACATCAAGGTCGTTGGGATATAAATACAGAAGAGGTACAACAGGAACGCGTGCGTTGCAGCTGCAAAAGACCCAGACTGTAAAAAGGGAAGGGTTTGTTAAAATACGTAATTGATTCCAGACTTGATGATGGCTTGCCAAACATTGTCATAATAAAAATAATAAAAATTAAATATAAAAATAAAATTAAAAATAATACTGAGGATTTTATAACATCTGGCGTTAGTAATGCAAGTTGCGAGAGAAACTTTTTTAAACTAAAGTTAGCAAAAAATTATCTGAGATTGCCTGCGTCAACACCGACTACCGAATTTAGATATTCTGGAAATGGAACATTTTGATATTGACATTTACACGAAAAGTACATTTTCAATCTAATTTTAAAACTAATATTGACAGAAATAATTAATAATTCAATGCACCCCATAATATAAATATTTTATTTTGTAGGCAATCAAAAAAAACATTTCTCGTTTTATTATAACATTAAGTGATACCGCCGGCTGATGAGTAGTTAAAGATGGCGTTTGTGTCCACTTTGTGGTATTATGTTTTCTAATTCCTCTTCTAATGGCAGTTCGCACAAGTTTGCATTAGCAGTTGATGTGGAACGAAATAAAGGTATATCGTCGTCTTCATTCTCGTCATTAACTTGCTAGATTTGTGATTGTGAGCGAGAACTTGAAGCATAAGCCTCATGGCTGACGTCTTCATTACTTTAAGAACTATTTGTTACAAGCCTTTCTAGTAAACTCACAATTCCCTTTCTTAACTGTGCTTTACTTGGTTAAGAGAACGAGTCTTCATTGCCAGCCGACAAAGAATTACTAAATTACTTTCCAGATACTTTATCGGGTTTTCCAAATAAAGCAGCACTCCAGTTAATGTTGGGCGAGGACGTTCTTTTATTTATCGATGTAATGATGATGTCAATGCAATACACAGTGCAGTTTTTTGTTGTTGTATTTTGTCCACCATGAATGCTAATGTAGTTTTTGCTCTTCACGACACAGAACATCAACTGCCAGTTTCAATGGCTCTAAAGCACGTCAGCAGCAGTCAAAATGATTGATTCTTGTTCATTTAAAAATAAGCAGGCACCGATTGCAAGTTTAAATCAATAAGAGCTTTAGGAAGAGATTAGCAATTCTTTACATGGTTAAATCTAGCTATCATAGATGCCAAAACACTCCACCTTGTCTTGCAATCGAGAATTATCTGCAATTCCTTACCGAATTGTGCTTTAATATATGTTTGCAATAATTCATTTTTCTTTGGAGATGATTTAAAACAATTAACAATCTTGCGCACTTTTTGAATTACTGCCCTGAAATTGTAATAAAAATTCATTAATATCTTAAGAAATAATGAAGGAAGACAATAATTAAATTAAAAATTATTATAATATCATTACGTATCATAATTTTTAATTTAATTATTATGTTATTATTGTTATGAAATCTTTTTAAATATACCTTAGGTAGGCCTCAATTGTATTTCTTCTTCCGGTTCTTCACCAGTTACAAAAAAACCACAAGGGTTTTCAATATAGATATACGAAAGAAGGATTTATGCCCAGTAGTTGAAAATGTTGTGATTGAAACCGAGACCGAGATGTTCATCATCATCATCATCACAGCCCTTCACAAGTCCACTGCTGAACATAGGCCTCCCCCAAGTAATGCCACAAAGCACGGTCCTGAGCCACCTGCATCCATCGACTTCCTGCATATCTTACCAGGTCGTCACTCCATCTAGTGGGGGGTCGCCCTACACTACGCCTACCGGTACGAGGCTGCCACTCGAGAACCTTTCTTCCCCATCGGTTATTGGTTCTTCGAGCTATATGGCCGGCCCATTGCCATTTCAGCTTACTAATCCGTTGGGCTATGTCGGTCACTCTGGTTTTATTGCGGATATCCTCATTTCTGAGTCTATCACGCAGAGAAACTCCGAGCATAGCCCTCTCCATAGCTCGCTGAGCGACCTTGAGTGTCCTCATACGGCCAGCAGTGAAGGACCACGTCTCTGATCCGTAAGTCATCACTGGCAACACGCACTGGTTGTACACTTTAGTTTTCAGAGATTGAGGTATACCTGACGAGAAGATGTGTCGTAATTTCCCGAACGCTGCCCAGCCGAGTTGAATCCGTCGATTGACCTCTCGGTCGAAGTTGGACTTACCTAGTCGGACTATTTGTCCCAGGTAAACGTACTCGTCAACAACTTCGAGCATAGTGCTCCCAACAACTACAGGCATAGGTGTGACATGGACATTAAACATGATCTTTGTTTTGTCCATGTTCATCTTAAGACCTATCCGTTGGGAGGCACTATTGAGGTCATTGAGCATAGTGCTTAAGTCCTCCAGTGATTCTGCCATAAGGACTATATCGTCGGCAAATCGAAGGTGAGTGATGTACTCGCCATTGATGTTAATACCGTATCCTTTCCAGTCCAGTAGCTTGAAAACGTCTTCCAAAGCAGCGGTGAAGAGTTTCGGGGATATAACGTCACCCTGTCTTACACCACTCTGCAGTTGGATAGGCTTCGAGCTCTGGTTCTGTACTCGGATAGCCATCGTAGCCCTACTGTACAAACACTTCAGCACTTCGATATACCGACAGTCAACTTGGCACCGCTGAAGGGACTGCAGCACCGCCCAAATTTCGACGGAATCAAAGGCTTTCTCATAGTCCGCATACGCCAGGCAAAGTGGCAAATTGTACTCTTCAGTCTTCTGTACAATCTGCCGCAGGGTATGTATGTGGTCTATAGTACTGAAGCCTTTTCGGAAACCGGCTTGTTCGGGAGGCTGGAAGTCGTCGAGTCTGCGTGCGAGACGACTCTCGAAAACAGCACGTAGACGCGGCTCAGAAGGGAAATCGGTCTGTAGTTCTTCAAGAGAGCGTTGTCGCCTTTCTTAAAGAACAAGACCACCGCACTTCTGCTCCACGCCTCTGGAGTAGTGCCACCATGGAGGACGGAATTGAAGAGCTTCTGAAGGACTTCAAGTACCGGTGTTCCACCCGCTTTCAGAAGCTCCGCTGTAATTCCATCCTCGCCTGGGGCCCTGCCGTTTTTAAGGTGCTGGAGAGCCATTCTAATCTCGCTTAGACTGACGTCCGGGATATCATCGGAATAGTGTCGGATAAGACGTTGCTCTTGGATCGTTACTCACACTTGCGTGTGGCTCCAACGATGATGTGTACAGCTGCCCATAGAACCTCTCAATCTCACTCAAAATCTCAGGTGTCCCGGAAACGATGCTGCCACACTCAGTCTTCAGCCTTGACAGTTGGCTCTTACGGGCAGACAGATCTCTGGCAAAGACTTTGGAGCCCTTGGTTCCGCTCGACCGCTTCTTTAATACGAGCAGTATTAAAGTTGCGTAAGTCTCGCCGCATGCATTTGGAGATCTGTCTGTTCAGTTGCCAGTATGCTGTCAAATCTGTTGACGATTGCAGCCACATCTCCCGTCTAACAGCCATGAGATTAAGAGTGTGATCGGAGAGTTTTTGTGTTCTTCTGCGGCGGGTCTTGCAGAACTTAGCTCCGACCGCAGGACAGTTTCCACTAGCTTGTCATTCACATCGTCCACTGCATTGCAATCTTGTAGGCACTGAAAGCGGTTGTGTAACTCGAGCTGAAAGTTTTCGGGATTTTGAATTAGAGCACGAGGGGGGACGGAGCGTTGACTTCATTAGACGAGACCTCTCCAACTTAACGTTTAGGTTCAGTGTGCCTCTAACCATTCGGTGATCGCTGCCAGTTTTCACCCTTGCGATCACTGAGACATCACTGAACAGTTGGCGTCTGGTCGTCATAATGAAGTCAATCTCATTTTTTGTCGAACCGTCGGGGCTCGACCAGGTCCACTTCCTGTGGGGCCGCTTCTGGAAGAAGAGTTCATCATAAAGAGTCCCTCTTTCTCCATAAAGTCGGCCAGCTGCTGGCCCCTTCGGTTCCGTTGCCCTACTCCAAATTTCCCTAACTTCAGCTCACCGTTTTCTTTTGTGCCTAGTTTTGCGTTGAAGTCTCCCATCAACACCGTGTAGTGGGTTTTGGAGGAATGCATGGCTTTGGAAATATCCTCATACATTTCCTCCACCTCCTCATCGGAATGTGCCGAGGTTGGTGCGTAAACCTGTATGACCTTCAGCGAATACCGTTTGGTGATTCTGAGTATCAGGCACGCGACCCTCGTCGACACACTCCCAATCTTTACAACGTTGTTGACGAGAGACTTGTGGACGATAAATCCGACACCTCCTTGGGACAGATGGTCGCCCTCCCGGTGATAGAACAAGTTGCCGGATTCGAGAATCACCGTGTCCTCCCCCTCTCTTCGGACCTCGGATAATCCTATAATACTCCAACGCAACTTGTCTATCTCTTCTTCCAGCTCCAGGATCTTCTCGTCAGTCCTCAGTGTGCGTGCGTTAAATGTTGCCAGGTCGAGTCGTCGTAGGTGGCAACCGAACCTCCACCGGAAATTCTTAGCACCCCCCTGCCCCGCCGTTACCATGGTCGCCACCGTAGCCAGGAATAGCGGGGCCGCCGGGGTCTGGGGGCCGTCTATTTGTGTAATTGTTCATGGGGGGTATATTGCCATAGTTGCCACGCTTGGCGAGCGGGTTGGCAACCGCAGTTTTTTTTTTGTCGTACAGTTGCTATTATCAGGAAGATGCTGCTGCCCATCTCCTGCCTGTTTCCCTCTGTCGCCTTTTACGACACCCACGGGAAGATATGGGGTAGTGGATATTCTTAACCGTCACTACACGGAAACCGAGATGTTGGTCCAAGGAAATGTTAAACTCTTGCAGTTTTTTTCTCAGAGCTACTACACCGCTTCTACGGGAAAACTGCCCAAGATATAAGCCAGCCCCAGATTTCAAACAATGGTTTTTCCATTCGTGAACATGTGAATGTTTACGTTTAAATATCGATGATTCTGAGAAGAGGTCCATTCCTCAGATGTTTTATAAATCTCTAAGTTCAATAGTAATTTTGTTTTGAGTTGAAGTTGAGTGAATTGTATGAGAAGAGGCCGACAATTTATGACCTTCTGAATCAAACAGTTCTCGTAAGTCAATCGATGTCGTAAACTTTGAGAATGGTATGCCATCCTTAGCGACCATTCGTAATATTCTCTTCCATGGAACATTTTGTTGACTTTGAAAAACAATTGTGATGACTTTTAACTTTTTAGCCGGTGTTGAAATATTTTGTTGCTGAATAGAGAGCTTGTACTGGCAGTTTCAGTATCACTAACGCTACATACGGATTTTTCTGTCATCTTATGCTTCGTACACAAGTGTACTTGCAAGCCCTTAGTAGATTGAGCACTTATTTTGATTATAAAAGGACAACGTTTACACTGAACATAAAGGCCATCTTCCGATCTTAAAAATACAATACAAAATTATTACTGTCGTATTCCTTATAAATCACTTTAGCACTCATTTTTGAGTTCCCGATTCCAACTTTACCTATAGCCAGTTATTTATTATTAATTTTATTTAGATGTTGATGAATGTTGCTGTTCAGATATAAAAATAAACCGTTTATTTCAATTTAAATCGCATGTCACAAACTACGCACTAGTACGCACGGTACGTCATGAACTCACGAATCACGACAGAAATAATGCAACCATGCAAATCACCCGAAAGATATTTTGGGGAATTCCCGTACAGAGAGAAATTCCCATTCATTCGTCACTTGACTTACACACAGCTACGTACTTCGATTTGAGGATCCCTCTAATTTTTAAGGCCTATTTTTAAGGCATTTGTGCCGTACATGATATGCGAACTCAGAATGGAAAAATAAAATCTTGCAAATCTTGCGGATGCTACACGTGTTATCCCACATTTGTAATCCCGCTAATTTCATTTGCGGGATTGTGGATCCGTGGCATTGCATTCCCTATTAAGAGCCTTGCAAACACTGTGCCGATCATGACGTAAGCTACTTTGTATATAAGCAGAGAATCTAACTGCGATCAGTGCAGTCTAAGAAAATGGCTAGATTTGTTTCGGTATCATTGGCCCTTGGTTTATTTGTCTGCATCCACGCAGCTCCAGGTACGGTAAAATAGAAATTCAATATTTAATTACGATAGAAAAATTAAAATAGGTATATTTTACAACAAATCTGTTAGTTAGCATGTGGCGCCTCTGTAGTCGCGCCACAAGCGAAATACACCGAAGCCTAAATCACGATATCAACATTCCGAATCAGAAACAGTATATATAGAACATCTCCGAACTATCACACGGAGTGTTGGCCGCTCCCCGGGCAGAACACCTTGCCCGGCGGGAGATCTCCCCTTTTCCTACCACGGCCACAAGCATATTAATCATATATCAATAAAAAAATTTAACCGACTTCAAAATGGAGGTTCACTAAAATTGAGCTTAATTCCACTTCTTTTTTAATATTCAATGTACTTATTGCAATATTCTCGAGGATTTATTCAAATTTAACACAATCAAGGGATGTAGGTTCAAAAAGTATACTTTCATAGTGATTCTGTAAAACTTTGATAGCCATCCGATAATATTTAAAGGCGATATTTTTTTTTTAATATAGAATTCATAAAATTAGAAGGTGGTCTGACAGTGATCATGTAACTTCTGAACGACTAGTTCAAGGTGAGATTGAGATCATATCACACAATATATTTGTTTTGTCAAGACGATGGGTGATAGCTGGGCTGGGATCTGATAGATGGTGATTGAGAAATATAGATAGAGCAGATGATTAGAATAGAACAGATAGAGAGGTGATTAGTTTGTGTTAAAAAATAAAATCGCAAAATGTGACGAATTCGGTGTGGAAGCTCATCACGCCGACGGAAAGGGTGGAACGTCTACCGGGCTATTTACCTAGTACTATGTAAAATTAAAAATATTAAATAAATTATAGGTTAAGTTTCAAAGCTGTAATATTTTTATAATAATCATACCTAAGTATATCTCTACGTGGTAGATATATTATGGTTGCAGCACGAATTGTTCAACTCGACCAGGGAACCACATGCTCTCATGGAATACCAACGTGAAACAGTAGAATAATGCTGTGTTTCGTATAATGAATACAAAGAACTGGAAAGCATTTTTACTAGTAAAGGCATTCCATCTTCTTTGATTCCAAATCCAGGATAAATGTAGATATACAATATTGGTCACAGCATTCACTTACCTTCAGATGGACTGTGTGCTCGCTTTTCACCCATATTCTAAACAAAAATTGTACATAAATCCTATACATATATATATATATATATATATATATATATATATATATATATATATATATATATATATATATATTTTTAATATACATATAATCGGAATCTCGCAAACGGCTCCAACGATTTTCATTAAATTTAGTGTCCAGGGAGTTTCGGGGGCAATAATTCGATCTAGCTAGGATTTATTTTTAGAAAATGTCTTTTTGTCCGTGTTTTCAGACAGTGAAAAACTGCTACAATATAAGAAGGTAAATTTTGACACCGTGTCAATGATCGTAATAGCTCAAGTGGATATCGAGCGGTCGCGAAATCGTAATGCCTTGGTTCGCGTCCTGTCTTCGGTCCGACTTTTTCCCTTTTTTTTTCAAGTTCCCTTCTTTTGTAAGACAATCTATTATTTCGAGCCCTTTTTTTTTGGTATTTTTTAAAAATACGAAAATTTTAATTAAACTAATTGCACTCATGATTTTTTATTCAAATAACCAGTTCAGTTTTTTCTATTATGTCAATAAGATCAAAAATGTTTCATCAGTATGTAATTTGTATTTAAATGTAATTTCAAAAAAAACCGAGCAAAGCTCGGTCATCCAGGTACTACAATATAATACGAGTACAGAATTTCAACCTTGTTTTAGGTTACGGCGGCGGTAGCGACGGCGGCGGCGACGGCCGCGGTGATTTCGGAGATGGCGATGGCCATGGTTTCATCCTTGATGATAGACACTGCGGTGGCGCATTCCCAGCAGATGATGGCCTTATAGACGGTCTAGGCGGTGGCCATGGAGGTGGTCTAGGCGGTGGAAACGGAGGCGATCTAGACGGCAGCTTCGGAGGCGGATTAAGCAGTGGTAAAGGAGACGGCCATTGGGATGGATTTAACGATGGTTTCGGTGGCAACGGCAGTTGGAACGGAAGAGCTGTCTTCAGATTAAGATCAAGTGCAAACGCACAGGCCAGTGCAAGCGCTAACTCTGGCGGAGGCTATGGTGGCCACTACGGCGGTTACGGGTAAGCGTAGCTTCATAAGCCTTTTTATCAAACTAATTTTCATATAAATCAACATCAATTTTATTAATTCAAATATTTGACCCACAAAGCATTATTTTAAAACAAACTATGGTATCGCTTCAGCAAGTCCCCACGGTGAGAGTCCCTACTTATAAGAGGCCGAAAGAAGATTTTATAACATAAACACCACTACGCAACCCTCCACAAGATTACTGCTGAACATGGACCTATGTAATGCTACAAAGCATGGTCTTGAGCCATCTGTATCAGATCTTCACTCCATTTAGTGGCGAGCCATTACTTCCTTTTCTTCCTTTTCGATTATTGGTATATATAATATATTAGCTTTCTACCCGCGGCTTCGCTCGCGTGGCATTTATTAAGCAAGTTTAATAAATGTTGTTCCGTTATAAATTTGGCTATTAAAGTCGTCTGTGTCTTGCTTTAACTATTGAACGTACATGATTGATATTTGGCTTAGATATAATAAGTTATAGGAATACTAATTTTTCATAATTACATTAATATCTTATGTCCATAAGAAAGGTAATTATCAATGGCCAAATTGTCTTGGAATCAATTTTTATTAACATTTTTGTATTTAGAAAAAATTGCGTTATTTACATTGGTTTTCATGGTGGGTTTTTATGCGCATCTTTGGATGAAAAATCTATAAAAACCTGCGTAAAATAACATATCGCTGATACATACAAAATATCGCACCGACGCTCCAGGAAGTCTGAAGTATGTCAACATGTTCAGTATCATCCCAACCATTATATTAGTTCTGATAAACATCATAAATCCTCGCGAAAGAGCCGCGATTCCCACCAAGGATGATTTTCGACGCTATTGAAGTTTAAAAAAAGCATCCTAATTTCAATAGAGAACATGTCTAGGTGCTACCGTCTTCCTGGGATCCCATAATTACTAAAATTAAATTAAAACCCAGGCATACTACTGCAAGACTTATAGCCTTTGTTAACTGTAACATCAGGACGTCAAGCACTCCAGTCCCCCCCCCCCCGTGACCAAGTAATAAAAAAGTATTAAAAAAGTTAAAATTCTTAAAAATAGATTGATTCGAAATGAAGTTCTATTACAGTGAAAGTGGGAAGAATCACACTCTTGAACGGAAGTAGAAAAATGTTCGCCTTGTTGTGGCGGTGAAAGAGAACATTATATATATATATATAAATAAGGTCACTCGGGGCTATTGTAGCTAGGGGGGAAAATTTTGCTAACTGAATTAACCTCATTCCAGTAAAGCTTTTGAAGCAAGTGACATCTGCGACTTTGTAGAGAAATTCAAGTTACCCTACATATCAATAGATGATGTAAGTGGCATTTATAGATTGTCAGTTTCCAACCGCTTTTTTATTCCACCATTTTGAAGTTACTCAGTGCTAAGTGTACGCTGAGAGAAAATCTCTCAAAAATATAGTTTTTGAGTGAAATTGAAAAGTGTTTTGACGTCACTATATTATCTATTTAAAATATTATGGACGACACACATGGTCAGTTCAACGGATCATTTCAGAGACACCGACAGACAAAAATTCTAAAGACCACTAATTTGGCTTCAGTACCCTTTACTTTGTCCCCTTGACCGGTTTTTTCAAGAATATAATAGAATTACCGACAACTTATCTACAAATTTATTATATGTATAAATATAGATTCGTTAAGCTATATGTATGGCTGACTCATTGCCACTTTAGTTTGTTTATTATGTGCTTTAGTTTTCTTATCCATTGCGTGACGTCGGTTATTCTGATCGGTTACGCAGATACGGATTCTATCGTGCAAAAATACTCCAAACATAACCCTCTCCATAGCTCGATGTGCGACCTTAAGCTTCCTCATATAGTTAAACTACGCAATATACTTTTTTATATGTATTTGTTTAACTAAATATTAATTATCATCGCAAAATATTTGTTTGAGTTATTAATTGTTTGTGACAATTGCGTTAGTGGTTAGAGTGCCTTACCACCGCATCGCGAATACTGGATTCTAAACTCAAATAAAAAATCGTTTATTACAACAATAGGTTAAATAGGTAATATCTAACGCTGCATAACAGCATATCTCCGATTTTATCATATAATAAGCGTCATTTAGTCAATTGAAAAACTACCTATTTAAGAATTGTCAAAACAAATATTTCAATTTAAGTTCAATGCTATCTAAAATATTATTTATATATTTTAGATACCTACCAAAAATAAATTTAAAGAAAATGTTTTGAGACATTACTAATCAAATTAGCAGATACAAATTATAATGGTTTCATTTACTAATGATGGTTTCAAATACCCAATTCGGAATGTAAAAACCAAGGATGGGTCTATTCCTGAGTGTAGACCCGTAAATTATTTTTAAGTATATATATAAGACCCGAGCAGCTAACAGTACAGTGGCAATGTAATATCCACTATCGATTCTCGCCCCGTAGGTGTCCTAAGAGATTACAGAGGGAAAGAAACCAGATGGGCACCAACTTCATTCTAATAAAAAATAATAATCAGTAACTGCGGTTGCCACTCCGCCTGCCAAGCGTTCATCATCATCATCATTACAGCCCTTGACAAGTCCAATGATGAACATAGGCCTTCCCCAAGGTATACCACAAAGCACGGTCCTGAGCCACCTACAGCCATCGACTTCCTGCGTGTCTTACCAGGTCGTCACTCCATCTAGTAAGGGGACGTCCTACACTACGCCTACCGATGCGAGGCTAAGCATTCAGGAGTGGACTTTTCATAGACTGTTATGGTAAGGCATTTGTAGTAAAACTCCTGCGTAGTTAAAGAATTATTCCGTGGTTGAAGTAGGATGCAACTGTATAATGGGTGCGTTTGGCAGAAAAAAGCGCTAGCAAGCGCTTACAAGCGCTAAAATAGTTTTCGGCCAGGACACGATTGCTACTTCAGTAGCGCTAACATAATCCGCCATTTTGCTTATTTAATTTGTTTGTTTTGAAGTAGAGTTTAAAAGTTGTTTTGTGCAATATTAGTTTTAAGTAATATAATGACATGAATAAACATATACATGTTATTAAAAATTCATGATTGGTAAGTTTTTAATATGAATACTTTACAAACATATATTTAAATTAGGTTAGGTTCCCCGGTTAAAACTAACATCGTGTCCTAGAGGAAAATAGCTACTTACGATTTGACAGCGCTTACCGCTTACGATCGCCATTTTGCTTACAAGCGCTTGCTAGCGCTTTTTTCTGCCAAACGCACCCAATGTCTTTAATTTTTTCCTTATTTTTTCCAGACGTTAAGCATTTGGCGTTACTCACAAGTTAAAGATATATGCTCCAGCTACTCCCTAGCATAATTGGTTCAAAATTTCTCAATGTGATAATAGATGATTCTTCTTTATGTATGTAAAAATATAATATAAAATATATTTTAAAGCAATTAATCTTGTTTTTAATCAAAATTTCTAGATTTTTACATAAACACTCAAAAATACATAAACACTCACGCCTGTCACCCAGAGGGGTAGGCAGAGACTACGGATTTCATTTGGCACAATCCTAACACACCTCTCTCGCCTCCTTTACATCCATATTTACGCATACATGCTCGTCGGTTAAGGGTACTCTTAATCTGGCCCATCTTCAATGTATCTAAAACTTTTTTACACTGATTTGATACATAAACCACATTACGTGTTCACATGGTAGAGCCAGTCTTTGATGATTATTTTTGCGACACGAATGGAGCCGACTTATGTGGAAGAGATCACGCTTACAAATAATCCTACGTAAAATAACAGCATAATGCTGTTGTTTCGTGGGTGAAGCAGTAGATTGGAGGTCCTTTTTTATAGGTTACACATTCCATCTTAGTCCTCAAAGTTGACAACGTGACTACTGAGTAATTTAGGATAAATGGACACCTTCGTATAGATTAAAGGATATGGGAGTGAGTAGTGGGGCAGTTAATTTGTCTCTTAAAGCTTTATTAGTGTAAATATGTATGCATATATCGAGTACGATAATAATAATGTCCTCCAGGCCAAATTTCGGTCACGTCGACAAGTAGTGTCAATGGAGACTAGCCATATGCGCAGAACAGGATTATAGTACCAGTGTATGCGCAAGCACAGGTGCACTATCCTGAAGTAGAGATATCGGGCGTAGGACCTACGGCTAGGCAGGACTTAAGTGCTTTCCGAGGCACCGACATGAAGCACTGCCAACTCCCTGAATCCGGGCTGCTACTGAGGATTTCTTAACAATAAACCCCAATAGCTAATTTTGGCCCAACCCGAGGTTCGAACCCGGCAGCCCATGAACAGCAACCGCGTTAACGACCTCTAGACCAAAGAGGCAGTCAAGTCAGTCGTATCGAATATAATTTCAGCGACAGTAGGTTATGACACAGCATATATTTATAAATTTAAAAATAACCTAATTATCTTTTAGTGTACGAAATAAATAGAAAAAGAGGACCTGTGGAGTTTCGCTCTTTCTGCTTCGTTCAGGGGAACCACATTTTGATGTGTATGAATATCTCTCTCTGCCATAATTAAATTATACTAGAGGACTAGAAGGCTAATATTAAGTATATTTACATTTTGTTATTTATTTATTGTAATAAAACATTTATAGCATACCAAAGATCCCCTAAAGAATTCAGTTGGCCATATGGCCTGTAACTACGAACCACTACGCTATTTATCTATATTTATAACTTGTACTCGACAATTACTCGAACAGGAAAATTGAATATAAAAAAAATTGCGTTACACGTGGTAGAGCCACGCTACAGCAATATTGTGGTGGCAGTGCGAATGGGTCGGCTTACCAGGGAAGGGCCACCCTCTCACAGAATACCAGCGCAAAATAATAGCTTTTTAATGGAAATGAGACATTCCATCTTAGTCCTCAGGGGTGACAACGTTCTGCATTTTGATTCTTAACCGAGAAATGATGTAGATGTCTTTGGGCTACAGTATCCACTTATCATCAGATGGACTGTGTATTCGTTTGTCACCCTTATAAAAAATATTTTGTAATCAGAGAAAAATCATAAAAAATATCCTACTATTTAGAATTCTTAAAAGTTATGTGCCCCTGATTAACACTGAATAAAGTTGAACAGGGTTTCACTAAAAACGTCGTTAGCTTCTTTTAAAATTACTTTAACGTTTGAGACCTTTAGACGACTGGTTGTTACATTGACACTGACTTCAATAGTTCTAATTAACTCATATTCAATGCAATTAATAGGAAACTAACGGGTAATGCACTAATAGGCTATTTCATACAGAATTTAAAGGCACTATCAGCTTAAAGTTCAAATAAACTTTACTGGGTAGCACTAAAACTAAACTCTCTTCCCTTGAAACGTTATTAGAATGTTAAATACACTCATAGACAAATTTAAAGTAAGGCAAAAAAGGTTTAATTTTTCCTGTTGTAATTGTCGTGCGTACTGGCCTGTTTTTTTTTTTGTAACTACTGCGTAATACGAATATTGCGTTCTTTCATACTGCGAAAAAATTTTGCAACTATTGAATTTCAGTTTAAATTTAAGTTTTGGTTAAATTTTTGCCCTCAAGTTCACCTACAAACATGTAGACCAAATATTACGGTATTAAAATCTGTGGTACACCAAGTCATCAAGAGGTATCGGCATACCGGATAGTATAATATACTCACAGTACAGGTACGTAAATGGAAAACTGTAGCCAGAGACGACTGGTACATCGTCACCAGCGTGCTTAGAAACCGAACTTCTTCTGTTAGTTTTACGACGGGCTGTTTTCCGCAACTCCACGTCTAAGCGCGTATTTTGCGTGTGGAAAGACCGGGAGAGAGTTACGCTCAGTGCAACATCATTCTAAGAGAGGTATATGATGGATGGTCAGTTATGGTTTGGGGAGGTATTAGTACCCCCCGGAACTCCGCATTATTGAGAATTGGTTACTAACAGCGGCACGAAATGTAACTGAGATTTTGTAAGAAATTGTAGGGCCATTTGCCGCTTCAGTGGGAGACTATTTGTTTTTATGCGCGATAATGCACTCCCCCATACTGCAGCCATAGTTGTCGAATACCTTCTAGATGTTGAAATCAATGCTATCTTTTATTCAATTTCAAATTCTAAATTCAATTAGTGAGATTCTATGAGGTTCTCAATTCAAAGGTTTTTTTTATGTATTACCTCAAAACTTTTGTCCAGGTGAACCGATTTCGATGATTCTTTTTTTATTTGAAAGCTGGCTCTTATGTGGTCTCATATAAATTTGATCAAGATCTGACACCAGTAGTATTCCAACCCAAGACCCGAGACTGTGTCCACAGTCTCTGATTGCTAGGCCAGAGGCTCATACCTCAATTATTATATTTTTTATTTAAATAAGGATGACAAAAGTACACAGTCCACCTGATGTTAAGTAGATACTGCAGCGCGATATATACATCTATTCTCAATTAAGAATAAGAAAACAGATGCCACTCCTGAAGACTATATTTTATGTGAAAGGGCTACACTGTAACTATATTATGGTTGTAGCACAAATGGTTGGGGGCTTGGACCAGGGTAGGATCACACTCTCACAGGACACTAGCGTAAAATAGCAGTTTATTGATGCAGTTTCATGTGGCAAGCGTAGAGAACTGGAGACCCTTTTTACTGGAAACAAGGAACTCTATCTCAGTCCTCAGGCGTAACAACACATCTGCATTTTGATTCTTAATTGAAGACAAATGTAGTTGTTTATGGGCCACATCATCGATTTACCATGAGGTAGAGTGTACACTCATTTGACACCCTTATTCTACAAAAAAAAAATGCCACAAAAGATAAAGTTAGTTAAACTTTTATTATCATTCACCATACAAAACACTGAAACACAGCAGCAATATGCAACAAATTTATGTTGATACTCTGTGCAGGCATAGGTCTTCTCCAGTTAAGCCACCTCAAGTTTTGCCATATAGTTTCCATTTTATGAACAATAATCACAAAAAAAAAACAAAAAGAGAATGACAATTGTATTTTTTTAATTCTTACCTAAATATTTTTTGCTATATGGACCAAATATACACACTGGTTCTAAACTTTTAGAAAAATCTTTCAAAATTTACAAACTTCGGCACTTAGCTATTGCATTGTAAACATTATATTGCAAATAACCTTATTTAAAAACACATTATTTTGAAGTCAATAGTCAGGCTTCTTTTAGTAGTACATTAAAAACAGTTGAAGAAAGTAAATTATTCAGTACCATCTTTTTGTAAATTTAAACGCTAACATATTTAATTGTCCAAGTGAAATTTAGTATTTATAAAGAATTAAAGAACAATTCATACATCAAAGCTAGAAAAACCTTACAGATTTGTATATATTTTTCAGTTTACAAATATTAAGGCTGTTATATTTTAACACTTATGTTTTACCCTATTTTTATATCATTTCCAAAATTAGCTAATAAGATGCAGCATCAGAAAGAAACAACAAGAACTTAAAAGATATGTTCAATACTAACAATGTCTTTTTCAAATATAAACTTGTCAGATATGAAAAGCTAATTGTGTGTTTATTCAGCGACAATCTTGAGCTTAAACTAACACAAATTTTGCTTAAACACAAGATTGTCTCCGAGTAATGGTCTATGTTCCTATAATCTAAACTTCATACGTAAATGCAAAATCATTCAAAGAACGAAATATTATTTCATGAAAAATTATTTCTCATTATGTCCAAATTCATATCATATTAAAATTTACTAACAAATAGTACATAGTTTTCTATAGATAAAATATCTTTTTATCGGAAAATAATTTGTGAACCATGTTTCAGATTATCCTACCCTTAAATTTTACTTATGAGATTATTGTACACCTAAAACGAAAGTTTTAGGTTTCCAACAGAGATATGAAAATTATTGCATAACATAATAGCACATAAAATGATCATGATGTTATGCCACAGTAAATAAAATTATGAATATTCTTAACATACATGATCACAAGCAATATTATTGTTTAGGGTTGTAGACCAAATATATATAAAATACAACTGAAAATTAAACTAATATGGAACATTAGAAAATAGATATGAGACAGATTCACCATTGTGTGTGCGTCGCACAGCCTCTGCCAGCATCATGGACACATCAATGCACTGGATTTTTGGGCATTCTTGCATGTGCCTCTCTTGTGGTATTGTGTTTGTAACCACTACTGCTTCTAAACAAGCATTATTGATACGAGATATTGCAGGCCCAGAGAAAATACCATGAGTAAGAATTGCATACACTTTAATTGCACCAGCTTCTATTAACTTTTCCGCTGCATGACAAATAGTTCCACATGTATC